AAAAAAAAAAAAACATTGAGAAAAATGGCAACGGGGCACAGTCCATGGACTGGGAGCTCACTGCCTGCTGTAGGCATGGTTTCAGCAGTCGTAGCTTTAGCCGTTAATCAAATAATAGGCAAAATGGCCATGTCCAAAGGCACCAGCTTTTACATTCTGTCTGTCTATTCTAATGGTTTCGCCACTCTTTTTCTTCTTCCTACGGCTTTTCTCTTCCACAGGTATCTCTTATTATTCCTTTCTTTCTGCTTTATTTCATCTGGGCATCTCGAATTTTTCAGCATCAAATTATTTATGTCTCTCTCAAGAAAATTCGATTTTATTTGGGTAATTTTATTTTCGGCAGGTCAAAGCGGCCAAAAATGTCGTTTCCTGTTATGTGGAGAATTTTCTTGCTTGCTTCTTTTGGGTTGGTAAATTTGATCTTCTTGTTTTTAAACAACTGTTAATTATCAGTGTTTGCCATTTACTTATATGAGCTTTAAGTTCATAGTTTTGTGCTTTTGTAGCGTGTCTTAAATTTCTGGAAAATATGGTGTTTTGCATATGATTTTGGGGTTATGGGCATTGTGAATTTCCATAGAAGACCATCTATCATGAAAGTGCATCCCTGAAAGCGTGGTTAACATAACACGAATAGAAGATTATAACGAGCTCTGCGTCATTGTTCTTTGTTTGAAAGCTCGATACGTATCTAGTGAAGATAATGCCATCGACAGATTAAAGTTTTCGATTTGGTGTGGTTTGAACTTGTGAAATTCTATTCTTAGTTTGTAATAATAAAGGAGAAAGCAAAAATTTCGGTTGCGTAAAATTTTAGCGAGTTATGCCACCTCAGTTGTGAATGTAACAGCACACACGTTTATTAGAAAGGGAAAAACGAAGGCTATAAACTTCGTGCAGTGCATTTAGTATATTCCGAAAATGGGATATACATGTGAGGAACATTTGGCGATAGTTTCTAATATTTTGTGTCTTATCTTCAACAAATCTTGAGAAAAATATGCCAAAAGGGTGAATTTGTGATTTGTGTGCATATGGTTAAGGTTATTGTCCCTTACAAGATGTGATTGAACTCAACACTTGGCTTTGGCAAGCGAAGGCTTGGTCTTGTTCAGAAAACACGTGTCAGCTATAAATTTCAGTTTTCCCTCTCATGAAAACAAGAAGCTTATCAAGTTTATGAAATCTGTTGCTAGATGTTTCGCGGAGATTGGTAGTTATGCCGGCATAAATTACAGCTCGCCAACTCTCAGTACAGCCATGTTAATTCTTGTTCCGGCATTTACATACCTTCTTGCCATTTTTTTCAGGTAAACTACTTTTTTAGTACCTTAGTCAAGCTGGTAGCCATTGAGGACTATAATTTGTTACAGATGGTTGTTATTTTGATTAGTAACAACCCAATTAGCTGAAATAAAGAAAATCATAGTTCGACTTATATGACGGTCTAAGCCAATTCCCATTAGAACACAATTGCCTGTATTAGTGTCCTTTCATATTTAACAAGAAAGGAAAGAAAAAAAATGGCACATATGTTAAATTAATAAATGTATCCTAGCGTTATTACAATTCTAGACTGTTAATATTTGTACATAATAGATTGGGTGAATGATATATGCAAGCGTTTCCTAAGAGAAAAATGCACTCATAATTTATCCCTCATGCTTGTCTTCCATTTTCTTGATTTGATTGGCTTAGGATGGAAGATGTAAATTTTAAAAGATTTAGCACCATAGCGAAGTCTTTGGGTACTCTGGTATCCATTACAGGAGCATTTATTGTGACATTTTATAAGGGGCCCGCTATCCTTAATTCACCATTGACATCCGGATCGTTTACGAAACTCTACTTGCCCTCGTCACAAAATTGGGTTCTTGGAGGATTTTTGCTTGCGTGTGCCTCTTTTATGACCGCATCGTGGTGCATACTACAGGTTATCTTCAGATTAAACAAGTCCTCAAGTGTAGAAACCAAAATTAAGAAGCAGAAACTAAAATTATTTATGATTTAAAGTTTTTGCCTTTCATTGCTTTTCTTTTGTGTGTGTGTGTTTCCTTGCAGGCCTCAATATTGAAGATGTATCCTGCAGAAATGATTATAGTTGCTTTCTACTGCCTTTTCGTAACAATGCAATCTTCATTGGTGACTCTGATTGCAGAAAGAGACTTGGCTGCTTTGAGAATTGAAACAAAGATTGGATTAATCGCCATTTTCTACGCGGTAAGCAAATATTATGACTATTACAGCCATCTCTATCTTAAGAGGGTGTACATTTGTTTTCTTGTTTATATATTATAGTTGTTTAAGGGATGACTGGAAAAAAACTGAGACAACCATATAATTCAGTTACCCAAAATCTATATCTATAACTATGTTAGTTGGGGTTGCACTATTTACCGATTAAAGAGTTATCCGAACTGAGCTATTGACCAAAATAAGATTGTGTACCATGTATTTCATGATGAACACACACACACACACACACACACATATATATATATATACAACATCACACACAATTAAAAATAGCATCAAATGTGGTTCTCACGGTTCTCACACCAGACCTAGGTTTTATTTGAACCAATCCCTATATATATACAATTTTTGTTAGTGTAATTAGGAAGAAAAAAATGGTAATTTTAGAAGATTGCACTAGTATAATTGAATTTAATTATAGTTTGTATACGTTGTCGATAAAAATATTGAAATGAAAAGATATTGAAAATTAAAGGACAAAACAATTACATTAACAAAATTGATTAGCTTCCTATTCAATTTGAAAAGCCATCATCGCGAATGATACTAAAAGCAATAATGTAATATTAATTTGTATTATTCAAAGCCGATGAAAACAAAATGAAGAGTGAGAGAAACTAAACAAGAAAATGGTTACACTATCAATAACTACTTTAGGTGATAATTAGACATTATTGAGACCCTAAAACCAAATGTATGTTGAAGTACTTAACCATATATATATATATATATATATATATATAAAACTAAAAAGATTTCATGCAAACAAGATTAACCTAGAAAAAGATTAATATAATTTTGATGTTTGAACACAAAATTGTTCATGAACTCTTTTTATGTCACGCCTTTTGAGTATTATCTTTAATTATGTTTTAATTTTCAGTTCATTTCACATAATTCATTGTGTAATGTATTTCTTTTGTTTAATTAATTAAAAATCAATAATGCAAAAAAAAGTAAAAAAAAAAATGAATATATCATATAAATCTAAAAATACACAATTTAAAGTGACAAATAAAAGAAAGAAAAACGTAACATATATTACGTCCAGCACATTACTTTACCGGTTTTAATACAAGTTGGAGCAAAGAACTTTTCGGGGTGGAATTTGCGATAACTTTAACAACCAACCTTTCCAAGGACATCTCCTTTATCAACATCCTTAGCAAAGAATGTACCCACATTTTTCACTGCAGGCTATCTTCAACATAGCATACAGGCTTTATGTTACTGCCTGGTGCATTTGGAAGGCTGGTCCATTTTTTGTTTCCTTGTTTAAGCCATTGACGGTCGTCATTGCTATTCTTATTGGTGTGATCTTCATGAAAGATGTTCTTTATCTTGGGAGGTATTGCCTCAACTTCTAATACTTTTTTTCCCTTTATGCTAAAAGTTTGTAAAATACTTGAACCTTTTTTTTTTTTTTTTCCTCACTGCATATTTTGGATCTTTTCTTGTTTACCTATTTTTTCAGTTTGATTGGTGCATTGGTGTTGATTCTTGGTTTCTATGTGGTGATGTGGGGAAAAGCGAAAGAAAGAGATATGAATCTGGGAGTTGAATCGCTTAGCTATCGGGCTCCCCTGTTGCAAGATTATAATATCCGAGAAGCATAGACTTATTTTGTGAAGTAATTGAAGCAAGTAGAATAACAGTGTCATTCTTTTTATTGGCTACACTGTAAAAAAAAAAGTTAAATAGATAAATAAAAGAACAAAAAATGATGAACTGAAGATGCTGAATGTAAGAAAGTATGGCATATGCAGTGCTCATGTTCGAATTTGTGATGTAGTATATGTAAAAGTGGAATTTGTAATGTTAATTACTTTTGAGTATGAGTTGTGTTATTATAACATCCATTTTCAAATCATTTTGCGGAAAAAAAAAAATGCAAATTGTTTTTAATCCGGGTAAACTGGCACCACATGAACGACCTTCGTCTTTCAGCTCTGGTGACCTGCAATACGCCCGGGAGGGGGGATGAGAATGAAGGTAGAATGTTGTAAGAGGGAGGCTCGGGCGGCAGCTGAAGCATGAGGCGGCGAGGCATGCACGAACATCGTGCGTGAGGGCAACAAGCGAGCAAGCACTAGCGAGAAGCGAAGGGTGCGCCCGCACGCAGTGACGGGCACGTAGGAGCGCCGCCCGAGGATGTCAAGCGACATGGGCGGGCAAGTGTCGCTGCGCGGCGACATGTATTGCGCGGCAAGGCATGAGGATCCTCTAGAAGATCAAATGGTCGATTACTTCTCCAAGATTGTTTCTCTTATTATTATCAGCGTTGATTAAGTTGGGTATCCTCAAGATTCTAGATAAGCATTTAAGATATTTGTTTTCCATAAGTTTAGGAGTTGATTAGTCTCTGTTTTCTTTACTTCACCATTGTATTTCGAATTTTTCAGCATTCAAGCAATAAGTAAATCGATATTTAGATCAAACTCTCTCTTGTTTAGAACTAGGTCTTAGTGCAGGTTTTAACACGAACTATCGTGTGAAGGGAAGTATTTAGCGCGCATTTCACACAAAAACACTTAAGCGGGATACACCATCTTCATAATTGATGCTTTCATCGAGTGTACTGATCGCGTATCTTCTTCATTTTTCTAGAATTTAGTTCGCACATAAACAAAAAAAAAATCTTTTGGGCGTGTTATCTTCATCCTCATGACGACATATCATGAAAGACTCGACAATATAGAGGACAACCTGAGGTCCGTGAGCGAGAGTTTGAGGGTCGTGACCGACGATCTTCATTCCACGAACCAAACTGTGGCCCGACTCGAGCAATTGATGCTTGACAAGAGGCAGCGCGCACGGCGTCCACGGAGAAGTAGCGAACCCGATACATCATCAAAGGATTCGACCGGCTCGAAGACGAATGGCAGCGATGTGGAGGACGAGTCCGACAATCTATCCCAGGGGCTCTAATCTCCGTGAGGAGCGGGGGTGTTAATCGCCCCAAGCTAAATTTTTCCACGTCAATGATAACCATAAGTATGGACGGGTGAGGCTTGACATATATTAACTCGACGTGGAGGCCAGTGTTTGGTGGCGATGGATTTCACGTGTTTATAAGAAAAGGGATGAGCGGATCCGACGGAGAGATTTCAAAAAGGAGTTAATCACGAGATTTGGGTCGTCGGGTTACCATGACTATGACAAAACCTTATCACATATCAAGAAAACAGGAAGCCTTCGAGACTACCAAAACAACTTCAAGCGTATAGCGAGTCGCATGCGCGAGTAGCTGGAGAGTGCGCTCTTCGGTGCATTTGTCGGGGGTTTAAAACCCAATCTCGCTGGTGAGGTACGTCTGGAGAGGTTTAGGATGATGCGAGCAACCTGAAGGCCGCACGCATGAGGGATGACCACCTGGTTGTGGTGCGAAGAGCCGGGTGCAAAGACGCGCGCATCATTGCGTCGTAGCGTCGACTACACCCATCATTAACCGGGGCATGAGTGAGGTTTCACTAAGAAATCCCAGACCCACACCACCTGGAGTTAGGAGGCTCTCATATGAAGAGATAAAACGATAATGTGAAAAAGGTCTATGTTTCAATTGCGACGAAAAATTCACGCTAGGCCATCTATGAAAGCAAGTGGTCATGATCAAATTGGTCGATTATGACGAAAAGGAGCCCTTATTGGATGAGTCATAATCTGGAACTGAGGTACACGACGATGATACAGAGATTTCGATTCATGCCATGGTCGGGACGAAAGGGCTGAAAACCATGCAGTTGCCCGTGTGGGTTCAAGACCGACGCATTGTGGTGCTAAAGGATAACATGTCGTCTTATAATTTTATTAATGCCTCATTGTCCCATAATCTGAAGCTAGTAATATGTGGTGCCATTTGATGTGCGAGTGACCAATGGAGAGCATTTGGGGCGTTCAAAGTATTTTCGTGGCGTACCAATCAAATAGCAGGGAGTGTCGTGAAAGTCGATCTTTATGCCTTACCTCTGGTTGGTTCAGATGTAGTTCCTGGAGTTGAATGGATGGGAGATCTTGGTCTTGTTACCACAGATTATAAGGTGGAAACCATGGAATTTAACTCGGAGATCGCCGGGTTGTTTTGAAGACGAACTCCGGTGATAATGTCTAGAAAACCAGGTTAAGAAACATTCAATGGTTGTGGAGAAGAGGCAACCAAGTGTATGCGGTTATGGTAGAGGGTGGAATGGAGGATTCTGGAGGGTCATCACTGCATCAAAGTGAGGGTCATCACTGCAACAAAACTATAAGTAAGAACTGGTGCTGCTAGAACTTAAATGAAACCCTAAGATGAGGACAACCTATTTATAATATGATAATTTACGTGACAGTTCGACAAATGAGCTGTTAGTTTATCATATTAATATCAATTCTATTTGATTACCTAAATAATATTTGTTATTTATTTTATAGTATTTTTTATCATGTAACAAAATAATGGGAAAATTACACTTTAACTACCGAACTATTCGCTTATTTGCACTTTGCCCACTGATCTTTTTCCGGCGACACTTTCCCACTCGAACTTATGGAATTTCTTTCACTATGCGACTTTCGACCATCGGACTTCAAAAGAGAAGGGCAATCGACCTTTCAGTTATTAATTTACTTACAAATAGAAAAACACCTAATTGAAATCATTCATAACCCTAATTTTACCCTAAAAAGTACGATCTGTTCTCCAAAAGGAATGAAAGCAGCAAAACTCTGAAATTGGACCCGTATTTTTTCGAATCTTGAAGCAATGGTTTGGAAATTACGAGAGAAGAATGACACGGATGCTCCAGAGTATGGTAAGCCTTTTTGTATTTTTCAATTTGAAGGTTTCTATTGGTTTCGATTGTTTTTTGTTTATTTATAATCGTGTGTTGGACTGGGATTGGAGATTTTAGTGTTTACGGCATTTTTTGTTTGTCTTTCAGGCGAAAATGATGAATATTTCACACTATTAAGGTTTACCGTGGCGGCCAATTTATGGATTTAGGCTGCAAGATGTACTTGAACGGTGGAGTCTCTCATGTCGATTTTTGCCATCCTGATGAAATGTCACTGCTTGAGGTAATGAGCATGACAGCTGAAATAGGGTTGATTTCAATTAAAGGTGTATATTTCAGTAGAGGTGGGGTTAATAACTGCCATGACTTAGTCTTGTTGGAAAATGATAATGATGTCATGCAAATGTGTTTCATGAAGGATGAAGATAGAATAGTTGCTTTGTATGTGGATCATGAAACTGAACTTCCTGCAGTTTCTGAAGGTTTGGACTTTTTAGGTGATAATGATCAATACTTGATGAATGAAAACTCTTCTGCTGTGGGTAGGGATGAAGTTGATAATACTTTGAATAGTGATTCTGATGATGAACAATCTTTGGGGACATATTCTGAGCTATCTGAGGTTTTGATAGATAGTGAAGGTGAAACATCTGATGTAGAGAATGATGATCAATATTTTGATGATAATATTGATTTTGATGTGGAGTTTGGGGGGTTAGGGATGGAGACATCTCACAGTCAGTCAAACAATGGAACAATTAGGACAGAATCTAGTAAAGGTCACAAGGGTCATGTAGTTTTCAATAGGAGGACAGATATGAGTGACCCTAAATTTGAAATAGGAATGTTTTTCCCTGATATGGCTCAGTTAGGAAAGCAGTGAGGCAGAGTGCAATAAAGAATGGCAGAGATGTGACTTTTAGTATTAATGAGAAAACCAAGGTCCAAGTAAAATGTAAGCACAGTACTTGTCCATGGCTCATTTATGCTACACTTTTGTCAAGTGAGGATAGTGTTCAGGTTAGAAAGTATAACCCTACACACAAGTGCCCTAGGGGTCAAAAAGTATCTCATGCCAACTCTAGATGGTTAGCTGACACTCATAGGGAGAAAATATGGTCTGATACTACTTGGCATGTTCAGTCTATGATGAAAATCATGCAAGGTGAAAACAATCTTCTTTTCAACAATAGCCAACTCTATAGGGCCAAGAAAAAGGTGTTAGAAAGTGGGTCTGATGGCCATCATGAACAATTTTGTATGTTGTGGTCTTATGCTACTGAAATTAGAAAGAACAATCCAGGCACTACAATTAAAATCAAATGTAGATTGCTTGGGGAACAAACCTCTTTCAAGAGGTTATACATTTGTTGGGGGGCTTTAAGGGATGGATTGTTAGATGGGTGTAGGTCAGTGTTGTTTCTAGATGGATGTCACTTAAAGACTTCAATTGGTGGAGTCTTATTGACTGCTATGGGCATAGATGCAAACAATGGCATGTATCCAGTGGCATATGCAGTGGTTGAAAAAGAGAAAAAAAATCATGGAGCTGGTTTTTAGAGTTGTTGATTGAGGATTTGAGAATAATCAACCCATATCACTGGACTTTTATGTCTGACAAGTGAAAGGGTTTGGTAGAGTCCATTGACACTCTCTTACCTGAGGATGAGCATAGGTATTGTGTTCAACACCTCTATGCTAACTTTAAAGCCTCACATAAGGGTTTGGCTCTTAAGAGCTTATTGTGGAAAGCTGCAAGAGCCACAAGAGTTCAGGATTTTCAAAAGGCTATGATTGAGCTGAAATAGAGAGATGTAGATGCATTTGACTGGTTAAATGCTAGA